GGAATAGGTACAAATAGTGTGAATATTGGTTTGGGTTTTTTCGACGAAATTAAACAAAAATCGACTCGTTTTAAACACCCAACTGTAACAATATCAAACATTGTTATCGAAAGCAAACAGACAGATGTTTTTATTTGAACAGGGTGCGATAAAAAGGCACCAAAATGTAATTTCATATCGTGCTTAGCATAGGGTGCGAGAGAAACTTCTCTGAACATTGAACGATTGAACATACGTTACAGGGTGGTAAACATTACATATGGGACATACTTAAGGTTATTATTTTTTAACTGGGAATAAGCCACAATTAAAGGTTAAAGTTAGTTTATTGACTTTACAATTTCCACTTCGGAAATCGTTCTCAAAATACAAATGTTTCCTTTTTAGTATTTTCTTAAAATTGTAATTGTTTGTAATCGTCTTTAAATATTTGACCTTATTAATTTTTTCTTGTGCACCTTTTGGTGGGACATATCCCAACAACATGGGTGAAATTTCTTGAGCCTCGTGGTAGCACATAGGGCTTCCCGAATCTCATGGTCGACCATTGAATAAAAACTGCTATACAAAACTCAACGGCTACCTCAAAATACATATGAGGACCTTAGAGGACAAGGGGTCTAAGTAACATTTAAAAAAAAAGATGAGTTAGGTGCATGAATGAGTTGTGAAAATACTAATTTATTTGATGTTGAATAGATCAAGTGATTGTTTTAATAGGTGCTGACATCTAGCGTGGTGCCCCTTAACCACTGAGTATTGATAAGTCCAAACTATGAACGCTAGGGGCCCAAAAACACTTATACTAAAACAATTTTTAATTGAAGGTGATTACTTGGCAACATCGTACTTAACGAAGCCATTAACGATAACTTTTCAACGAAATCGTATTGAAATTATCAATTTTGCAGAGGCGTACCTAAAAAAATTTTAATTATTTATTTAAACACATAAGTAATTACGTAAAAATTAAATCTAAGACCGATTTAATTATTAAATTATCATGTCTCTTTTAACAGGTATCTTATAGTTGTCTAACAAAATAAAATAAAATTTTATTCTTATTAGAGAGTAGGTATCTGATACAGAACTTCAAAAAACAGAAAACTTTGGAAAATAATTTTTTTTCATTAGACTAAAAACAATCTGCAATTTTAATTACACATCATTACACATCATTCTCTATTTATAAAATTGCTGTGTGCTGTAAACGTTATATTTGTTTTTTTTTTAACTTAATTTGAAAGTTTGCTTGTGTTTATTTGTTTATATAAATATGAAAATATATTATGAAGTTCATATAAATTAAAATGAAGTAAGCTAAACTATTATCATATGAATGCGTTTATATAGCAGTGCATTTGTTTATTTTAGTAAATTCTCGAAATATGAAATGAAGATGGCACTAACTACTAAAGAGTTAATAGCTTTGTTAGAAGAAGACTAAGATTGTGAAAATGCCACTTAATGTGGTTTATTTGCCACCGACATTAGATTAGAAAGTTTCTGATGTAGAAGACATTGATCTTCTTCTTCCTTCTATGTTAATATAGGTCTAATTCCTGCTTTATAGACTCTTGTTTTTGTGTCTTGTCTTAGGTGTTTGTTCTTCCAGATTGTGTCATTAAGAGAACCCGCCGCTTTACTTGCTTTTAAGCTTTGCTGTCGTACTTCTTCTTCAACATCTCCGTAACTATTGATATCTATTCCGAGATATCTAACCCATGCTTCCGGCTTTATTATTTTCCCATCAATTTCGATTTTACACCGTAGTGGGTATTTAAATGTCATACTTTTGTATTTTTACGCTGATATTATCATATTGTATTTCTTAGCTGTTGTATTGAAGATATGTGTTAATCTTTAAAGCTCGTCTTCTGTCTTGGCGATTAATGCGGCGTCGTCTGCATAACATAATATTTGGATTTCTTTGTTCCCAATTCTGTAGCCATGACTTTTACGTACTGCTTGTATTATTTCGTCTATTAATATATTAAAGAGAAGAGGAGCTTAACGAGTTACCCTGTCTGACTCCGCTTTGTACTGGTATACCCTGTGTTCGTTTTCCATTTATCTTTACCTGTATTCGATTATGGAGGTAGATGCTTTCGATGGTTTGTATAATATTGATTGGTATGTTTCTTTTATGCAGTAGGTGTAAGACGTCTTCCACTTGGATGCGATCGAAAGCCTTTGTCAGGTCTATAAAATATAGATATGATGGCCTTTTCTGTGATTTGTCTTAGTACAAATACAGCGTCTACGCAGGATAATCCGGATCTGAATACTTGTTGTTCATCTGATAAAGTTGTTTATTGATTTTGTCGTTTAGGACTTTTGTGGTAAGCTTAAGTCCGGTGTTCAGTAGATTTATACCTCTATAATTGTTGGGGTCTTCTTTATGTCCTTTATTGACCATTGGTATCATTACGCTGTTTCTCCATGCGTTTGGTATCTTGCAGTGCAATATTAGTTTTTGTATAAGTTTTGTCATCTCTAGGGTTAAACTTTCTCATCCGTATTTTAAAAGCTCGTTGGTTATTCCGTCTGGTCTTGATGACTTTCTATTTTTGAGTGAAATTATGACTATTTTTACTTCGTGAAAACTGATTTCTATTTCGTCTCTTAGTTCAGGTACGTTATTGTGTTGATTATTATTTTCCTTTGCTTTAATCAGTTCCGTCAGATATCTTTCCCATTCGTTTGCTGGTATATTATTGTATTCCTTGAAAAGATTGATGATAATATTATTTGTGAAGAATCAATAAAATCGGATATTGCAGGTACATATGAAATACAAGATTGGGAATTCTAACGATTCTGATTATGATATTCCTCTGAACCACAGATAAAACTTCTAAAGAAAAAACCAGGCAAAAATAGTAAATCCAAATTTATCTCAAGTTGTAATAACGGATATTCTTTCGTGCTCAGTAGTAATTCAACATCAGTCTGATTGATATTTAGACAATATAAAAGGCAACCATGTAGGCAAGTCATATATTGAAGTTTTTTTCACCTTTTTGATAAAAAAGTAATTGAGAATAACCGTCACAGTTTTGAAATGAATAACATAGATTTAAAAAAATTATTAGCATATGTATATTATCTGATTTACACTCTGCTTCAAGTTGATATGCATTGGTCAAAGGATGAGGATAAAGAAGTGCATATTATGAGAGAAAGCATGAGCCGACATAGATTTAAAATTTTAATTTATAATAGTGAAGACACTGCTACATCTGTGTCAGTACAAGGGCGTTAATCTAAATTTGCTTTACCAGATGAAACCAGATTCGACAATATTGGCCACGTTATAAAAAGAGACGATAGTGCAAAAATTTAGGATGTACAAAAGTAATACTATTTATTTATGTAAAAAGTGTAGAATGCATCTACACCCCGAATATTTCGAAAATTTTTACCTTAAAATTTAATTTACGTTTAAGATACAATATGTTCATTCATTAAAAATTGTACTGTTTTTCTTAAAAATGAAAAAAAATCTTTTTGGTTGTAATTTATTCCTAAGTTGTGTTTTTAATCCAATCTAATAAATTAATTGTCTAATTTCTCTTTGTATATTGAGCGGCCGTTAACGGTTTAATGCTATATAAAGAATAAATTGGAATCAAATTTACTTTACTTACCTCACAACTATTTTAAAGTTAATAATAAAGTATATTTAATAAATATATTTTCAATAATACACTACGCCTATGCACAAATGAATAAAATCTGGAAGATATCATATTTCATCAACTTCAATAAACTAAGATATCATATTTCTCTAATTAACATTCTTTCTAAAAACGTAAATATATATAGACCAGCAAAATATTGATAATTTTACCGATGTTCCAAACTATTCTATGAACGTGTCTCACTATACACTCGTGAATCGCACCAATTTATATTGTTACGGGGGCAAATTTATCTTACATGGGTTACAAATTTACATATTTACATGGGCGAAGCATACACAATAAAAATGACCCCGGTAAGAATTTACTAATGAAATTTTTCATGGTTGCCGCTACCGTTTAGTTCAATTTGTAGATTAGTCACCTTTAATTGAAAATTGTCCGACTATAGACCACTTTACCACGAATCCACAAATCATCACAGTTTAATTGATGGATTCGACCGTAACTTGATGGAAATTCATTTTATGTAACAATAAAACACTAAAAATTTTGTTGTCAAACTTCCACAAAATTTATTTTAAAAACTTATCACTACAGCTGTTTCGGCTGATTGCCTTTCTCAAGTGATCTATTTTTGGCATGCGTTTACAAATTTATAGTCTCTAATGAAATAGGTTGAGGAGGGGAGAACTGTTTGTCTCAAGTTGGTCATTCAGAATTATATATGTGTTTTTTAATTTGTTGATTTCTATAGATTCTAACAAAGATAGCTTAAGGCCTTTATTTTGAATGTGTTTAAAAAACTTACATCGGTCAAACTGGTAGAAACTTTGATAAACGAATAACAGAACATAAAAGGGCTTTCAAGAATAGAAAAATAGATTCGACATACGCACTTCACCTTCTAGATCATAATCATTCTTTTAATGACAAATTTAAAATTCTTCACATTCAAAATAAAGGCCTTAAGCTATCTTTGTTAGAATCTATGGAAATCAACAAATTAAAAAACACAGATATAATTCTAAATGACCAACTTGAGACAAACAGTTCTCCCTCCTCAACCTATTTCATTAGAGACTATAAATTTGTAAACCCAAGCCAAAAATAAATCACTTGAGAAAGGCAATCAGCCGAAACAGCTGTAGTGATAAGTTTTTAAATAAATTTTGTGGAAGTTTGAAAACAAAGTTTTCAAACTTTGTGCCTGCTAATAATAAAGTGGTCCCTAGTCAAAAAAAGTTAACACCTTAAAGTTATACCAGTGGTTCCCAGGTAGCCACTGATACAAATAGTCGTAACTTAATAATATTGTAGCAATAATTTAGTGTTTTATTTATAAACAAAACTTACCTGTCTATCATTCAGCTCCTCGTTGATTTTACGTAGTTTCTTGATCTAAAAAAATCAAACGGTAACATTTAATACAGTTCATATTGTTTATGATGAAATAAGTATATTAAAAGGAAACATCACTCATAGAATTATAGAAAATGCATTAAATACATAGATAATTATAGCCTTGGCAAGGCAAACAGCAAGGTTAATATCTAGCTAATTATATAGTTGTAATGGTTACGATTAAGAAAAAATCGATAAATAAAGCCAGATGTTTACTAAAAGAGTCTTTTTGAAAAATAAATAAGTCAAAATACAGTGTAATCACTAAAAAATTGAGCTAATAAGAAGATATATCTGTTGGTCCAGTGACAAAGTTGTTAGGTCGATTTTTGCCAAAATGTACATTTATTGCATTAATAAAGAACACTATTGGGGGAAGTACACTCGCAAATAACAATATTATTCTTCTTCTTATAGTGTGCACCGTGCACCTATAGTGCGTTGACGAATTATCTTAAGTCGTCTCTCTTGTGCGGCATGCAAAATATCGCCAGTGTTATTTATGCCTGTCCAGTTCTTAATGTTTCGTAGCCACGATATTTCTTTGCGACCTACTCCTCTCTTGCCTTCAATCTTTCCCTGGATGATTAGTTGAGGGATTGCGTATTTTTTTCCTCTCAGAATATGGCCGAGATATCCAATTTTTCGTACCTTGATCAAATTGAGTCGTTCTCTCTCAGTATTTGCCTTTCTTAAGACTTCCTCGTTTCTCACCTTATCTGTCCATGGTATACGGAACATTATTCGCAACGTCCACATTTCAAAGGCCTCCAACTTATTAACGGTAGGTACTCTTAACGTCCATGTTTCCATGCCGTATAACAATATGGACCATACATAGCATTTAACCATCCTGTACCGGAGATTGAAGGAAAGATTGCTGTTACATAGTAGCGGTTTAAATTTGATAAAAGCTTGTCTTGATTGTTTGGTACGGCATTTTATTTTTTGTTGAGGATCCCATTGGCCATTCATCATCATTCCCAAGTATTTAAATGTTTTTACTTGATCGATTGGAGCCCTATCTACTTGCAGTTGTATTCTTAAAAGTGCGTTTTTTCTTATTGCCATGCATTTAGTTTTTCCAGCATTTATCTTCAAGCCATATATTTTTCCTACGGTGTTTATTTTATTTAACATCAACTGCATATCATGTTCGTTGTCTGTTATTATCGCGGCGTCGTCGGCGAATGTTATTTATCGGAAACCCTTTTACCTTTATTCCACACTCAGAGCCTTCTAGTGCCTCTGCAAAAATGTTCTCAACATAGAGATATGAAGAGCATAGGACATAGAACATGTGAAGAGCATAGGAGACAAAATACAACCCTGTCGCAACGCTCTTAAAATTTCAAATTCTTCTTTCTTCGCAACATATAAAAATCTAACAGCCCTCATCAAACAAAAACTCACTCAATTCACAAAGAAAAAAACTGGGGACTACTAGCAAGGATTCCAAGAAGGCAGATCCACTACTGATGCGATCCACATAGTTACACAAACAATTGAAAAATGCCACGACCACAACATAGAACTCCACATCCTCTTCGTAGACTTCAGACAAGCATTTGACAGTATTGGAAAAAAATAAATTATTTATTGAAATAAAAAATCAAGACATACCAACTGTTTGAGAAAGTATGCGCGAATTCATTTCATAATTTTACAGTTAATATTTTTTCTGTTACGGTACTGTAATGTGATCTAATTTGGTACTGTATTTTAAAAGACCTTTTTGAAATATATTATTTCCTGTGAGTTCGTAAAACTTAAACTGGCTCTCATTTATCATGTTAAAGTACGCAGAATTGGGCTTTTTTCTTTGTATTCTATGTCACAAATACAAAGATCGAAACAAGTGGTTGATTTATGGCATGCCCGGCCTACGAGATATTGACCATCCAACCAGAGGGTGGTAGTGCGGAAGACGCTCTCAAACCCTCAACATTGGCACTTCTTCGTCAGACAACGATCGATCGACACGCATCAAGTTCCAGACGGTTCTCGTGCTAAGCCTCGGGACGGCGACGCTAACGTCGGTATCACGACCAACTCCTCATGCCCAGTGACCAACTCTACAGCTTGGTACGAATTCATCAATAGAACCAAAGGGTAAGTCTATTCTTGTATAAAACATTGATAATGAGTAAACCAGTTTATTTCAAATTTATTTCTACGTTTACAATTTATAATTGCTATTTTTCCCCAATTTTATGTATCAACAATATCACATTTTTTCGTTATAATTATTTATTCAATATAATTTAAACCAGCGACTTCTCAAGTTTAATCACTAAACACCAACACAATTAATCAGATTAACAAAAATGAACATGGATGGAGCTAGAGCTAAATTAACAACAGAAGAAGGTAGCACAAAATCAATTGCAATAGAAACAGGAGTGCGACAAGGCGATTCCCTGTCAACCACATTATTCAACATAGCAGTAGAAGGAACAGTCAAGAGGGGTGTCGCACCTCTCTTAAAATTTAAAATTCTTCTGTGTTGATTGTTTGTTCAGTCTCACTCGTGCTTTTTGATTCTAATAGAGATTCTGGATAACTCTTATATCTTTGTCGCCAATGTTTGCGTTGTTAGCATTTTTATCATTGCGTCGTGTTTTACGGTGTCAAACGCGTTTTCATAATCGAGGAATGTTATGACTCTATCCTTTCGTTGATCTATGCAGTTTTGTACAAGCGTATTTAAGCAGAAAGCTGCTTCACGTGTATCTAGTCCGCTCTTAAAACCAAATTATGTCTCACCGCTTAGATCTTCCAGCTTCCTGAACATTCTTGTGTGAAGGATGCGAAGAAATACCTTAAGCAAATGGTTCATTAAACTTATCAGTCTGTGGTCTTTGCATTTTGTCGCTCTTTGTGATTTAGGGATCATTATAAAGGTTGAATAAAGCCAATCCGTTAGAATGTGACCGGTGTTATATATGGCATTGAAAATTGTTACCAGCATGTCGATGTTATCATCTTCCAACAGTTTTATGGCTTCCGTAGTAATTCCATCCGGTCCAGGGGCTTTGCCTAGTTTTGCTACTTTGATAGCGTACTCCATCTCGGCGCGAATAATGGGGTTGATTCCATGGGGTCAACAGTTGATTCGCGTTCAACATCTATTTCTTCTGCCATTATCAAAAATACTTGAATATTTTTTTATATTTTCTTTGCAAAAATTATATAGATCAAGTACATCCAATATCTGATTGTGAACAAGCTTTCATGAGCAGCTAATCTTTTTATTGTACCTCCATTTCCATCACACGGACCTTTGGCATGATAACTTGCAAAAAAAATCCACTCTGCTATTACGCCGTAAAGGGATTTGTGTTTACACAGATTAAGAAAATTATGACAATTTTTATACTGAGCTATACCTATAAAACGGTAAAAGCCATGGAAGCGTTTTCATCGTTCTTGGCGTGTGCCTGGCGTGCTACTACGGACTTTTTAATATTCGTCTCTCTCTCTGATACACAGATGCGTAATTCAATTGTGCGAGTCACGTTCGTTATGATAAAGTGCGATGAGAAGGGAATGAAGAGACCACGTCTCCCAGTATTGTAGCAATAACACCGATGCGTTTGGCCGATACGGTGTCGGTGATAAGTTCGGCCTCTTTACGAATACAGATAGCTGCCAGTGACGTGTTTTTTTTAACATGTTACCCTGATCTGTGCAGGTTTGAAGTAGCTGATGAAATAGTTTTTATAAGTAAACAGTTTTTAATTAATTAATAGTTTGAACTCTTACTGTGTGGAATTCCATTACATAAAATAATACTCTCGACACCTTAAAAATTCCAGTTTATTATAAATTAACTCTCTCTCTTCCGATAGCCATTGCAATAATGACTTGTGGCATTGTTCTTGAATGAACTGGCGACTAGGTTTATAATTGTAACAATTGCAATTGATATTTTATGTTGTTTTAGTCGATTTTAGTCAGTCATTGTTGGAATTTGTTCCGAACAGTTTACTTATTATTTTTTGTTGTGAATAACTAATTGTTCTATTTAATAAAAAAAATGCCGGGACAAACGATAACAGGAGAAATGCGACAATGTGTAGTTCATTTATTGGAGTATTTTAAAAAAGAAAACAACGGACCTTTGCTTTCGTTATTATCGGTACATGAACGAGTAGCGGACGCTTTGAAAATCAGTCTTCGCACAGTGATAAGAATAAAGAGTGAATACAAGACAGGGGCAGCTCTTATTACACCAGGAGAGTCACGTAATGTAGGTACAAAAAAAAAGACTAATGATGTCAGCGATACTATAAAAGGAGAGATTAGAAATGTACTGTATGGCATGAAAGCAAAAGGACAGCACGTTACAATTAAAGTTCTAAATACACAATTAAGAAACAAGCATCTCTATGACGGTTCTGATACAAGTTTGTGGCGTCTTATAAAAAATTGTGGGTTTTTATACAAACTAACAAATAGTAGACGAGTGCTATGTGAGAAACCATGTATTGTCTCCAAACGACTGTATTTTTTGAGGCATTATATGAGAAATTTTTTAAGTCCAAGCCCACTTCAGTTCGTTTTTTTAGATGAAACATGGATATTCCTAAAAGGGGCATATAAACGTACTTGGCAAGATGACTGTGTGAAAAGCATCAGAAAAAGACACGAAAATACAGGTAAACGCTTTGTTGTTTTACATGCCGGAAGTAGGCAAGGATTTGTTAAAGATGCTGGATTACTGTTTTCTACGAAATCGAAGAGTGCAGACTATCATGATTCTATGGATAAAGAGTCTTTTAAAAAGTGGGTCTCCGAAAACCCGATACCAATGTTGGAGGAACCATCTCTAATTATTATGGATAATGCCTCATACCATAGCTCTTTAATAGAAAAGTTACCGAATGCCAATTGGAAAAAATCGGACTTACAAGAATGCTTACGAGCGAAAAAAATAATTTTTGACGACGATTCGGGCAAGACAGAGCTATTGAGTCTTTGTCGCCAGAATAAACCACAAAATACCAGGTACGTTATAGACGAGCTACTGCAAGAACATGGACGTGAAGATCAAACAGTGAAAAAAGTTTGGGGCGATGCATTAGCTGAGGCAACACCTGCAGTGTGGACGAGTTGTGTTAACCATACTGAAAAATTAATTCAGGACGACTGGACAAAAATGGTCACATATGATGAAAATGAAAGTAGGATTATCATCGATTTAGCGGAAGATTCCAATGATGAAGATAGTTCCAGTGAAGACGCTAACTGATTAGCTAATTAATCAAGGTCAGTACGTTGTAACAGTTCAGAATTCGCTACAGTGCTTAAAAACTTAAAAAATCTGTATCATTTTTTAATTAAAGTGGGTTAAATAATTAACACTTTTTTGGGTATATTTCAAAATCCTTTTAAAATGTACTTTTCGTTATATCCTGTCCATTGTACTGCAAGCTAGAAAAATACTTCTTCGCAATTTATACGTATATTCCGTTATTAGAAATTTAATGAAAAATAATTTATAATTTTCTTTTATAACTATTATTTCGTTTGACATGCTACATTTTGCTCCGCCACTGGATGAGGTAAACGAATCGAGCTTAGACAAGACAGATGAAACAACTTATTGCAAGTGTTTTTAACATGCACACGCCAAGAACGATGAAAACGATTATAAATAAATTCAAAATAGTTATTTTTTGTGTAAAATTTTCCGTTAGAATTCGAATTCGTTGTCAGGAAACCTTTTAAAAGTTATTTGGAAGCTGGAAAACGAAGGAAAAGCGCTAAAAAAAGGCGGGGAAAATCGCGTTTTTTTGGACTCTTATAGAACGCAGCGGCTTCAAACATATAAAAAGGATTTCTGAGACAACCTTTATTCGAAAGTACTTGTATTAGGGCGTCTTTTGTGAAAATTTGAAAAAAATTAAAGAGGGTGTTTTTGGGATATGAATTTTTCAAAAAACAGCGCTTTGTTTCGCATTTGAACTGAACAATTCGCACTGAACTGGAAGACCTATCTGGACATAGCATGTAACAAGGCTAGTAGACTCGGTCTACTCAATGCTTTTTGTGGTAAATTCGGAAGAACACACCCACGCTCACTCATACACACATATAAAACATTTATTAGTCCGAAATTTTCTGATTTTTACAGATTCTCTTTAAAAAATATTCGTAAGGACATACATAAGTAATTAATTAAATGAAAACGTTCACTTGTGAAAGAAAATAGAGATAACAGTTCCTAAAAGACATTAACCTATCTAGACCTAAATGTAACATTAAAACCGCGGGACATGTATCTTTTTTGATATTTTTTTTCAAAAAAAACAATCGTTTTGCTTGTTTGCAAGTTAAATTTGATTAAGCAAGTCCCAAATTTCATTATTCCATAAAAAAATCATAAATAAAGTTAACATAAGCGAGGTCATTTCAATTTTTTTTATATTCAGTCAAGTTTCATTTTCCAATTCTCCCACTTATTTTTTTCCGCCGAAAAATAGCTCCCTCTAGTCGGCTTCAATTCTGTCCCTACGGAGTTCAACCTATAGGATATAGGTAATTTAAGATAACTCTGTGAATCGGCATCTTACCTATGTATCTAAAGATATAAAGAGAATAAAAATCTTGGTATATAAAAAACAATATCTGGTGTAGGTACTGAAATTGACACTTATTACACAACAAAAACCACAAGAACTGTAGTTTGCTTAAAAAACAAAATATACTTAGTAACAACATCCAATCATAATTCAAATCTAATCTAGTATATATAAAACGGCAATTTAATAAAAATAAAGTATGCTAAAATACTACTATAACTATAAGACTTAGGAAAAACTAACTAACCTAACTAAGTATAAGAAAAATCAAGAACTAGATTTTAGAAAAAATATAAATAAGAATACCCAATATGCAGAATGGCTGAAAAAACGCCAATAGCATCCTAAACCTTACTAGGTAGAAAACTCTTTCTACTTAGCTGTAATTTGTGTTGCCTACTTTTAAGCTGTACACCCACATTTTTATTGAATTTAAAATATATACTAATGTATGTCACACATTGATACATACAAGGTCTACTGATAAAATAGTAGTTTAGATAGAACTTTGTATGATTTAAATTGCAATTTTAATTTTATTTTGTATAACACATAGTGATAAAATAGTATTAAAGATATGGATTTGCTAATTTTGCAGTTTTGAGCTGAAGGTTATTTAGAACATTTTTAATTAAAGAATAATCATATTGTTAAGATAATTCACACTATATGAGGTCTATTTCGAAAGTATCTAACTTTTAGAGCCAGAGTTGGTAGATTTCCTCTTAAGAGATTTCTCCTCACTAGAACTTTCCTCGTTACAGGTCACTATTATCATATTCTGGGATATTATTTTACTATAATTGCTATCTAGTCAATAAGTTTCGATCCAGGTTAGTCTTCTAACAAGTCTTCCTGATGATAGGTAGGTAAACCTTAAAACTCATGTAGGAGAATGGTAAGAAACTAGAATTGTAATACTATGCTCCGCAAAGAATTAGTCTCCATTATCCAGTATCACCATTAGACTTAACAACAAGCCAGTTCTATAGTGTCCATCACCATTTAAATCATACCTATACCGCTGAAACATTTCCTTTTAAGCAGCAATTTTACTTTTTAATACAGAAAAAAGCTGCATGGTGCTATATGATGATTGTACAGGGAATGAAGGAGTTGTGATTTGACACAGAGTATTACACAATATTAAATCAATATGCCAGAGTATTATCGTGATGAAGAAATCAGTCGTCAATCACCCAAGAATGGGAATGTTTCCTTCTCACTACATCACAGAGAGTGTCACAATTCTGTTATGACTTGAACATCAAATTCAAGTATTATTTGCTCTTGCCTCCAACCCATACAAAAGTGTTCTGTCTCCCAAATATTATGACAACTCTAAAATGTTATATATGGTCCCTGCTTCTGTATGGCTGTCAGGGATGAATACTAACCCATAACTGTTGAAAATTGTTAAAGACAACCTCATATCTCAAACATGTAACATATCACAAGTAATAAAAACATTATAACTAATTATTAAGGGGGTAATTATTGAAAGAAAACAAATTAATTGTGATATAGGAAGAAAAAAGAAACTGTGGCTCAGGAATATAAGACATTATGCCACAACTGAAAGAAAGACTCCCATACGAACTATGCATTCGTGTCACCAACCTCAATAAATATGGTACATAGGAGGATGAGGAAAAAGTGAATGTTGTTGTTATCTAGGCTCTAATTGACAAAACAAATTGGAAATATAGAGTGACAAAAAGATGAATGAAATAAAAGGATTGCAAATGTATAGGAACTAAGGTTCCTTAGGTAACAATTTTATGGTGATTTATTTGAATTCACTTAGGTGTACTGGAATGCAGGTATTCCTTTTTTGTGTAACTGGATAATGAACTAATTGCAATCAAAATCTGACCTTTGTTATGTTTGGATTTCGTTTATTGTATACTCTATACTTTTAAGTAAACAGGGAATGCCAAATTTTTTAATTACAATAAATAAAGCCCCTAATAACAATTAAAACATTTGGTAATAATTGTCACTTACTTCCAATTCTTGTTGGTGACAGAGTTCCTGTAGTTGCTTATAGTCACTGTCCTTAATTTCTTGATCTAAAACGTGATTTGATTAAAACATTAATAATATAGTAACTATTAAATACATCAACATTAAATATAGGTTAAATGTTGTAAATGCTAATTTAGTCCTTACATATAGTTAGGATAAAGTTTATGTTTACCTTCTTCTCCATCGGCCAAAACATTATTCGCCAGATTCGAAATTTGACCCTTGACGATATTTAAACTGTCATTAAAATTAAACCACGACATTTTCAGATTCGAAACTTTATAAATAATTATATATTGGTAGTTTCATTCATTTATTTTTAATTAAATAGAAACTTTAAACTTTTTGCCAACACAACCCAATATGATTTTGACATTTCATTTAAAAACATCAACTGGCATGTGACATCTCACTTGACACTAAACAGTATGAAGGTAGCAATGAATTGTAGAATTTTTTTGCAGAAAAGGAGCTATTCACAAAGTAACATTTTCAATTAAAATTTTTTCTAATAAAAGCCTAAAGCCATAGCCACAGAATAATTATTCTGTGCCATAGCTTTTACTGTAAAAAATTTCAAATATGCCAATATCAACATAATATTTAGCGACATCTATTGGTGAAGAACTAGTTCAACATACGCAGTAAGGAACTAGCATGTAGGAATCATCGAAACAACTTATTTTTAGTACCTACTAGGCGTTACACAGATGATACCGCATAAGACAAAAAAATATTTTTTTTTATTTTACATAGTCTCATCGACGAGTTTCTATTAAATAATATCCTAATGTTTGAAATTCCTAAGAACCAACATAGCAAGTAGCAAGACGTACCCGTAGGTGACCTTTAGTTATATTTTTTCAGATGTTGAACGTAGCAGGAATAAATAGTCAAATATTATATAGTTTTGCTGACTTCAACAGTCCAACCAACTTTAAAAGACATTTTTTTAAAATCGTTATCAATATCGTTGATGAAAGCACATCTTTCAGAACGAGCTGAAGTAAAACGTTTGCTATCCAACATAGGACTCTTCCTCTTCTTTTTAAAGTGTCCTCTCCTCAATGGAGGTTGGCTACTACAATTTTAAACTCTTCTCTATCTTCAGCTGTTCTTATTAGCTGTTCAAAATTTAGCCCCGTCCATTGTCGGATGTTTCTGAGCCACGATAGTCTTTTTCTTCGTAGGCCTCCCTTTCCGTCGATTTTTCCTTTCACTATAAGTTGGGCATATTGGTACTTATTATTTCTCAGTATGTGGCCTAGGTATGATGTTTTTCTAACTTTTACTGTGTTCTATACATAAGTGTCTACATCAGACTCAAATAGGTCAACGGAGTGACGAACTATCAGCAAAAGTACGAGGAAGGTGTTTTTTTTTTGTGGGAAACCGTATTTCAACGATAACATGCAGCACTTGTCTCAGATCAGTCTGCAAGGATCATTCTGTTGCTGTTGTTACTTGCACATAATGTCAAAATAAAGATGATTGCTTAGAGTACAATAAATATTTATCAACTTGACTGTTGTTTTTTATATTTTAGTATTAGTATTATGTCTCTTTGGTTTCAAAAATGTGTTCATAAGAAGTTCATTTTATCTGACTTACTCAAAATGTTTAATATTATTAATATGGTAATAAATAAGATTTATAACAAACAACAACAACCCGTGGCTGGTCTCAACTTGCGTGGAAAAGGGGCTTTGAATTGTGTTAGGGCCCATCAGTACTTTGCGTAAGACAGACTAGGCGGGGAAGTCCTCAACCCCGACTAGGGAAAAATTCCTGCATATATGCAGGACAGGTACGAATAAGGCATAGCCAAATAAGTACGCGCGGATCAACTGAGGACATGGCATTAGGCAGCAGTAATGTGATTACTGGATTAAGGCTGTGGGAAAATAAAAAAAATCCTGTAGGCCTGATTTCACCGAGTGACTGCCGGTGTAAGCAATCTTCCACTAACTGACCAACGGCTTCGAGCGGATGAGTTAGTAAGTGGTAGGGCACTTTTTTAGTCCTGGGGTTGAGAAATTGGCTCCAAAGGCGGATAAACCTTAGTGGTCTAAGGCATAAGGATGTAGAAGGCAACGGCAAACCACTACATTAAAGATCGTCAGATTTCCCTAGAACGATAACCATGAAAAGTACGGTTAATCACATGGCCCCTAGTCCGCGGCGGACCTCTAATGGTCGAGGGGTGTTAAGAATCTCCGTGTGAAAGAGCCACCCGAATGTGGCAACTAACTGTATAGAGAACAAATCCTTTTTAAGTTTCGGAACATGGAATGTGAGGAGTTTGTTCGAACAAGGAAAGACGCACAACACGATTCAGGAAATGAACAGACTAAACCTAGAAAATATTAGGCATAAGCGAAATGCGCTGGTCTGGTTCCGGTACAACATTCTTCTTCTTTATGTGCCGTCTTCTACCGAAGGTTGGCGATCATCGAATGATGGGTTTCTCTGTTTTGTGCTGCATGTATTATTCGCATGTTTCTGGTATTTGAAACAATTCTCTCAAGTTTCTCAGGCAGGATTTCTTCTTTCTACCCAAACCTCTTCTACCTTCAATCTTGCCTTCCACGATAAGCTGTAGCAGACTGTACTTATCATTATAGAACACATGGCCCAGGTATGACGCTTTCCTCCTTTTAACAGTTGTTAAAATTTCCACCTCTTTACCCATTCGTCTTAATACCTCTGTGTTGGTAACTCTGTCTGTCCAAGGTATTCTCAGTATGCGTCGATACAGCCACATTTCTAGAGCCGCTAACTTCTTTATAGTTGCTGCTGTTAACGTCCACTCTTCTACTCCGTAAAGTAGCACAGAGAGTACGTAGCATTTCGTGGCGCGCCACTGGAGGTTAAGAGCTTTCTCATTTTGATGAATTTGGATCTTGCTATTTCAATTTGGATCTTAATCTCTACGTCTGGGTCCAACTTATCATTTACTGTATATCCCAGATATTTAAATCGGTTTATCGGCCAGTATAACAGTATCATCTGCATATCGAAAATAAATTGGTACGCCATTAATCTTGATGCTTTCGTTGTACTCTTCCAGTGCCTCTAGAAATATTTGTTCCGTGTACAGGTTGAAAAGCAGTCGCGAAAGAAAACAGCCCTGTCTAACTCCACTCGAAATGGTAACGTTTTCACTCACCATATGTCTATTCTTCATGTGGGCTGTTTGATTCCAATATAGATTTTTTATAATCTGGATATCCTTAGTGTCAAGTCCTGTAAGATGTAATAGTTCTATGAGTTTGTCATGTTTGATAGTATCGAATGCTTTCTCATAGTCGATAAAACAGGCGTAAACAACCTTCTGTTGATCCAGGCATTTTTGAAATCAAGACTTGTATTGCAAAGAGGGGCTCTCGGAGTTCCAAAACCGCATCTAAAACCGAACTGTGTTTTACTTATGCTGTGTTCTAATTTTGCTCGTATTCTGGAATGGATAATACGCAAGAATACATTAAGGGTGTGACTCATTAAACTTATAAGGCGATATTCACTACACATCTTAAAATTCGATTTCTTGGGAAAGGACACAAATGTAGATTTCAAACAGTCCGATAGAATTTGACCAGTATAGTATATCTTATTAAACAGTTTCAATACTACATTCAAGTTGTTCTCATTAAAAACTTTTAAAAATTCGACTGGTATTTCATCGCATCCTGTTGCTTTTCCATCTTTCGTTTGATCTATAGCTTATCACCTCACTTTTAAATATTTTTGGTCCATTCAGATCAAGAGTGTTCGTAGAAATATGACGATAATCGTAAACAAATCTTTTATGTAATTTGCCCAAGTCTGTAACTGTTCATCTTTATCTACAATAAGTTTGTTGTTCTCTGTCTATTAACCTACCAAACTGTTTTTTCTTGTAAGTATAAGTAAACTCCTTGATTTTTTTGCATGTTAAAATTATTGTGTCTTCGTTCTAGCTCTTCTATCTCTTGACATTTTCTTGTAACCATTTCTCTTTGGATTCTTTTATCTTTCTGCTGACAGTTCTATTAAGTTCTTTATATTGTTCGGGATTATTCTTATTTTCCTTCCTTCTTCTTCTTCTTCTTCTTACGGTGCCTTATCCTTAAGGACCTTACTCTTGTGGTGTATAAAGTACGTCACGCGTGTACTTATGTTATAACTTGTGGGAGTAGTTAAAGGTTAAAAAAGCGAGTATTTGAGTTTTAAAATATTTTATTGTCGTTATAAACTAAATATATTCTTGGGAGGTTCATGCGTAGAAACATATTTCCAAACAGTTTGCATCTCAGTTTTGCCCATTAATCTAAATAGGAAAGATTTAATTGTAACATTGGTGAAATCTTTATTGATAGCATCCAAATTGTCGCCTGATAACACTAAAGATTCGATATCTGTGTGAGTGTAATTTAGGTTTTTAAAGAGAATACCAGTTACGAATGCATCGTCTACCCATAGAAAGGAATTTGATTTTTGTGCTTCCTTATATAGAGTAAATACCACTTCTGGTGTATAAACTATAAAGTATCCAAGACAGTACGGCGGATAGAATTCTTCTGAATATTCTTCAAACGTTACCACCCATTTGGACTCGTTTCTGTCTACATGGCTGTGAGTTCTCGTAATACAGTATATGGTTTGTCTATCACCAGGACACAAATCGTAAGTAAGGAAATTTTTCATACTTGGCCAGTTGACGAAGACGTCGTCATCGGTTTTTAATAAAAATTTCGCATGCGGACAATGATAAATAAAGTATTTAAGAACCGTTACGTGCTTGTAAGTCAGATTTCTGTAAGTGTCTATAAAATTACCTTGTACAATATCACCAAATAAAGTACTTTCTGCTTCAATATTTTTCTGTTCTTCTAGAGAACTCGGATCTCCTATTAAAAACACAATTTTTTTAGTTTCATCCATTTGTCCCCATGTATCCCTTATGGCCTGCCTCTTATCAAAATTTAAAGGTGCAGAATGAACTACCATAAGCACCAACACAGAGTTACTTTCCTGACAAACTTGATTCATTATAGAAAAATTAAAGCTGATGTTTAATAGACGATTGTAATCTTCAGTTGGTAACAGGAAGGTCTTTCCATTGATTAATAATTTTATAGGTTGTAATGTGGTTAACGAGTAAATATGGTTTTGGAAAAGCGAGTCTTGGAAACTCGTTAAAAAAATAATTGTAATTCCTAAAATGATTACTCCTATTAAACTAAGCTTTAGTCCTGAATTCATCTTAATCATAATTAGTGGGCACCCTGAAAAAAAAATGGAAGGTTTAGTTTTTCTTATAAGAAATAAAAAGAGGTGTGCGACAGGGATGTATATTGTGCCCATTATTGTTTAATACATATTCAGAGCACATTATGAACCTAGCGCTTTATTTATTTAGCGTATGGATAATTACAATACGATAAAAGTAGTATTTAGATAATAATTATGATCAAATTGGAATTGTAACCTAAGTTAAATATTAAATATTTATGTCCAAATTGCACAGCCATTCAATTGCACCAGGAGAACACTCTGCAAAATCTTGAAGGTCTCCGCTGTATCTGCGGATTGGGCAATCCGCCATGATGTGTTGGATGGTCTGTCTCGGGGAGCCACAATCACATTGTGGGCTTTCTGCATGACCCCATCGGTATAGAGAATCGGCACATTTGCCATGACCCGTGCGTATGCGATTTAATTTTGTCCATATAGGGCGTGGCAGGTTTGATCCAGTGAAGCCGATCGACGTACTTGTTATTTTGATGACGTCTGGCTCTGTTGTTGGCATCCATCTTTTCGTCCACTGCTCTTGCTTATTGTAGCTATCACCCATTCCCTGAATGGATTGGACAGGGGGGTCGTTTGGACTTCAGTCTTTGTTGGTCTCGTGCGGCGTGCGGAATATACTGGTGAATTGGCAGACGATTATTTGTCATGATTTTCTGATATTCTCTGATAAGTGCTGCCGTTCGTCGAATATCTAGAGGTGCTATATTGCTCAGAATTGGAAGTCATCTTAGTGGAGTTGATTTAATAGTACCAGATATTACTCTCATAGTGTAATTTACTAACCTAACCTAGCGCTAATGGACATAGACGAGGGAATACTTGGGCATACAAGGTCTGCAGACACTTGTCTCCAGGGTGGCAAAAGTAAGTAGCAGGTTTGGGCTTGATTTTAACATTAAAAAACCAAATACATGGTTATAAGTAAAAATAGGATACCACCTGGTCAATTACTAGTTAACCAACATCCTATGACACAAATCACCAACTGTTGTTATCTGGGTGCAAACTTAAATGAACAGTGAGACCAATCGACGGAAATTAAGATAAGGATCGAGAAGGCAAGATCAGCTTTGGTCAAAATGAAAAAAATACACAAAATTAACAGCCATATAAAATTGGCAAGTTCGTTTACTAAAATGCTACGTATTCTCCGTTCTTTTATACGGCGTGGAGTCATGGACCTTAACTGAAGCATAACTGAAGAGACTCGAAGCATTTGAGATGTGGTGTTATAGACGCCTGTTGAGGATTTCCTGGATAGACAGAATTACCAACGAAGAAGTACTACATAGAATGGGTAAAGGGCGCGAACTAGTCGTAACCATAAAACGTCGCAAACTGGAATACCTGGGCCATGTAATGCACAATGAACAATTATATGACCTACTTCGGACCATACTTCAAGGTAACGTGCATGGGAAAAGAGGTCCAGGACGAAGAAGAATATCCTGGCTGCATAACCTACGAAAATGGTTTGTTTAACTTAACTAATTGATGGATTCGACCGTTACTTGATGGAAATTCATTTTATGTAACAACAAACACTGAAAACTTTGTTTTCAAACTTCCACAAAATTTATTTTAAATATTCAGCTGTTTCAGCTGATTGCCTTTCTCAAGTGATCTATTTTGGCTTGGGTTAACAAATTTATAGTCTCTAATGAAATAGGTTGAGGAGGGGTGAACTGTTTGTCTCAAGTTGGTCATTCAGAATTATATCTGTGTTTTTTAATTTGTTGATTTCCATAGATTCTAACAAAGATAGCTTAAGGCCTTTATTTTGAATGTGAAGAATTTTAAATTTGTCATTAAAAGAGTGATTATGATCTAGAAGGTGAAGTGCGTATGTCGAATCTGTTTTTCTATTCTTGAAAGCCCTTTTATGTTCTGCTATTCGTTTATCAAAGTTTCTACCAGTTTGACCGATGTAAGTTTTTGGGCAGTCGCCACATTGAAGTTTGTACACACCACTATTTAAGTGTTTTTTATTTTGGCTCTTGTTATTTTTAATATATTTGCCTATACTAAAACATTTTTTAATTGAAGGTGATTACTTTGCAACATCGCACTTAACTAAGCCCTTAACGATAACATTTCAACGAAATCATATTTAACTTATCAATTTTGCAGAGGCGTACCAAAAAAAATTTAATTATTTATTTAAACACATAAGTAATTAATTCAATCTAAGACCGATGTAGTTATTAAATTATCATGTGTCTTTTAACAGGTATCTTATTCGCTCCGTGCGTAACCATGGTAGGGGTAACTTGAAACAATGCCAGCGTGCGTAGCGGCGAAATATGACAAAATTGGACCTATCTTTTACGCATAAATTTTATCAAAAATGGGTGCAAATACATGTTGCGTATTTAATTGTGCAAATAATAGCAAAAATAGTGAGTCTAGTTTTTATAGGTTTCTAAAGATTACATATAAATTCGAGAAAAGAAAAAGATGATTTCGTGCTATTAATATGAAAAAGTAAATATCACATAATTTCATTTTTATGCAATTAAAGTAGGAAAAATTTAAATAAATAACCTTAAATGATATTTCATAAGGTTTCAAGCTAACAGCAGCCTGCCTGATGACTTTAGCTTTTATATCATAACTTTTACTACTATTGTTTTTAACTATATGCTCTTCCACATGAAAATCTTGATTTGTCAGTACTAGATTTTTCCCTTTCTTTTCCGTTTGGGGTTGCAAAGATAATTATGATGAATTTTTAGAAACCCAGTTTTAAATACTACATTTATTTTGTACATAAACTAAAAAATATAATTAAAAAACTAATTATTCATAATTGTCTATTTCTTATATATTTAACATATTTTTAACCTCAAATTGGGAGGTCCAAAACTCTCAGATGAAGGCAATAGGTCAGTCAAGCACGGAGTGAATAGTTGTTTAACAAAATAAAGGAAAATTTTATTGTTTTTATAGAGTACCTAATACAGTACTTCAAAAAACAGAAATCTTTGCAAAATACTTATTTTTTCAGTAGACTAAACAATCTGAAATTTTAACATACGATCTCGTCGTTGCACTTCATTCTCTATTTATAGAATTGCTGTCTGCTATGAACGTTGTATTTGTTTTGTTTTAACCCAAATTGAATTGATTTAACTATTTATTTAAATACATAAGTAATTACATAAAAATTAAATTTAAGACCGATATAATCATTAAATTATCATGTGTCTTTTGACAGGTATCTTATAGTTGTCTAACAAATTAAAGTAAAATTTTAATCTTATTAGAGAGTACCTAATACAGAACTTCAAAAAACAGAAAACTTTGGAAAATACTTATTTTTTCGTAACAATAAAACACTGAAAACTTTGTTTTCAAACTTCCACAAAATTTATTTTAACTATTATCACTACAGCTGTTTCGGCTGATTGCCTTTCTCAAGTGATCTATTTTTGGCATGCGTTTACAATTTATAGTCTCTAATGAAATAGGTTGAGGAGGGGAGAACTGTTTGTCTCAAGTTGGTCATTCAGAATTATATCTGTATTTTTTAATTTGTTGATTTCCATAGATTCTAACAAAGATAGCTTAAGGCCTTTATTTTGAATGTGAAGAATTTTAAATTTGTCATTAAAAGAATGATTATGATCTAGAAAGTGAAGTGCGTATGTCGAATCTGTTTTTCTATTGAAAGCCCTTTTATGTTCTGCTATTCGTTTATTAAAGTTTCTACCAGTTTGCCCGATGTAAGTTTTTGGGCAGTCGCCACATTGAAGTTTGTACACAGCACTATTTAAGTGTTTTTTTTATTTTGGCTCTTGTTATTCAAACTTCAATGTTCAAATTTCAAACTTCTTGTTGTACAAACTTCAATGTGGCGACTGCCCAATATGCCCAATGTGGCGACTGCTCGAAATATGAAATAAAGATGGCACTAACTACTAAAGAGTTAATAGCTTTGTTAGAAGAATACTCAGATTGTGAAAATGCTGACTCACTTAAAGTGTTTTATTTGCCGCCGAGATTAGATAAGAATGTGTCTTATGTAAAAGACATTGATGATAATATTATTTGTGAAGAATCAATAAAATCGGATATTGCAAGTACATATGAAATACAAGTGATTGGTAATTCTGATTATCATATTCCTCTGAACCACAGATAAAACGTCCAAAGAAAAAACCAGTCAAAAATAGTAGATCCAAATTTGTTCTTAAGTATCTGTAACAACAGATACTTCTTCGTGCTGCTTTGTGCTCAGTAGTAATTCAACATCAGTCTGATTGATATTTAGACAATATAAAAGCCAACAATGGAGTCAAGTCATATATTGAAGTTTTTTCACTCTTTTTTAATAAAGAAGCATTCTATATTTAGATAGCATTTCTATCCTGTACATAGAAGCATTTGATAAAGAAGATTGAGAGCATTCTATACTTTTGAACAACCGTCACGATTTTGAAATAAATAACATAGATTCGTATATTATCTGGTTCACACTCTGCTTCAAGTTGATATACATTGGTCAAAAGATGAAGATAAAGAAGTGCACATTATAAGAGAAAGCATGAGCCGACATAGATTATATTTATAATTTATAATAGTGAAGAATCGCTACATCAATGTCAAGCTTCGTACATGTACCTCAATCTAAATTTGCTTTACCAGATTTGACAATTGGCCACATTACAAAAAGAGACGATAGTGCAAGAATGTAGGATATGCAAAAGTACTACTATTTATTTATCTAAAAGGTGTAGAATGCATCTACACCCCGAATGTTTCGAAAATTTTCACCTTACAATTTAATTTACATTTAAGATGAAATATGTTCCTGTATTAAAAATTGTACAGTTTTTCTTGAAAATGAGAAAAAAAATCTTTTTTGTTGTAAATTCCAATCCTTTTTTAATATATGTGTTTTTATTCCAATCTAATAAATTAATTGACAAATTTCTCTTTGTATACTGACCGGCCGTTAACGGGTTAATACTAT